AAAAAAAAAAAGATAGTTTGCACTAGCATTCTAACAGATCACTCTTGATACAAATGTCAGGTAACTCAAGATCCTTGTTCACATTGCACTCACATTATTAACTTACTAATAAAGAAATTTGCATTCTAAAATGACTTCTTTCATAACTCACATTTTATATTTACAGAAACTGAAAGCAATTGAACAACTGAAAGAACAAGCAGCAACTGGAAAACAGCTAGAAAAAAATCAGGTATTTTCTGCATTTTTCATTTAGGCTCCTAGTTACCACCATCCCTCTTCTTTCATTGCAGGCAGTCATTAGGCCAGCCAAGAGAACACATGGATTTTAAAACTTGCTTTGAAAATCATGTCATACTCTCTTAGGTTTTCACTCTTAAACTGGAAAGGGGAAGAAAGATATGGGACTTGGGGATTGAGAGAGTTGGCTGCAATTCCTACACCGTGTTCTAATGCTATTGCTGCTGAAAATTATGACACATTCTTATATTAGACAAACAGAAGATTCTCTTTTTTTCTATATCTCAGGGTGCTCTGCCCCACTTGTCCCTTCCCTCTTCCATTCATAAGCACTATTTTCCCCAAGTGGAAAATGGAAAGTTTATTGAACCCAAAGCAATGCTCTTAAGACTGCTTCTTTCTTTTTCTTTCTTGATTCATACCAGATAACAAATTAGAATCTCTTTTTAAATCTATATTTTTTAATATGTTGTTGTTATTGTTAAGTGCCATCAAGTGGATTTGAACTGTGACCTTGTGGTTCACAGTCTAGTGCTGATTCTATAGCACCACATCAGAGTCTAATATTTATTTACCAATAATGTAATTGTCAGAATTTTCTTTTTTCCTTTGTTATTTTGGTTATAGATCAAGGGAAATATTAAATCATTTAATTTCCTATTTAATAACTTTTTTTTTTCTTTCTATTTTTCTAGTTGGAAAAAATTCAAAAAGAGAAAACCCTTCTCCAGGAGCTGGAAGATTTGGAACTGAGTATTTAAAGAGTCCCAGAAAGAAAACTGGTTGCCAGAAATCAGTGTAAACACGTCTGTTAAACCTATTGTCTTACACAGAATATTTATGTGTCCACACTTAATGTTCATTTATAATTTTAACCCATTTCTCCAAGAATCTACATATATATGTAATAATTTAATAATGTCTATTAAATTGACTGTCTCTATATCCTATATCATGTCAGTTCATGATATAGCAAAGACACATGAAATTTTTAGCTAAGATTGACATTCTGAAAAACAAATGTCATTGCTTTGCAATAGGAAACAATATTTACCATATAAATAAAGGCATTTTAAATATTATCATTTTCGGCTTTAAATTCTTAAATTAAAAATCCTTCATTTAATTTATAAGGTAAGTTTGGGAAGTTTTTCATTTGAATATATATATTGTAATTCTAAAACATTATCTTGTAACTTGTCAAATTTTTATAAAGCTTTAAAAATCTGATTGTACTGATACATTAAATTGTATTCTTTGTAGTATTTGAAGTAAAGTTTTTCTGATTAGTCCTGAGGTATAAATATAGACTTTAAAAATAGGAAATAATAAGACATTTCATTTTGATATCTAATAAACATAATGATTTGAGGGTGAGGTAAATATTTTCTAAGTATGAACTATGATTACTTTGCTATGGTTAAATCTTGATTATTTTAAATTTATTCTTACTTTGAAAAAAGATGTGATGGTAATCTAAGACATGTGGCTTATCAAAACTAATTTAGACTTAGTTTTGGAGTCCCTTACAATGGTTTCTTTATGTTAGGTTAACATTAGAATTTTATTTCATTTGCATTAATATAAAAACAAAAAAACCCCAAACCTGCCCTTCAAGTAGATTCTGAGTCATGATGACTATCTGTGTTGCAGAGTAGAATTATACTCCATAGGGTTTTGATTTACTTGATACAATCTTTACAGAAGCAGATCACCAAGATTTTCTTCCAGGGCACCACTTTTTGTTAAATGCCTTCAAGTCCATTCCAACCTGTAGCGTCCCTGTATACGGTTTCTGAAGAACCACTGGTGAGTTTGAACTGCCTACCTTGTGGTTTGAACCAACCTTGCGGTTCAGTTCTTATCCTACAGCGCCACACCCAGACTCCAGGTTACCACTAGGTAGATTCACATTGATTACTAGTCGAATACAAACCATTTCCACTAATACAGGTCTTCATTTTCCAGAGTTAATATTTAAATTGATCAGTGAGAGAAACGAACCCAGAACACAGCTTTGAGAAACACACAGGTAACTGAGTTGATTGAGACCCCAAAGTTACTAGTAAGCTATGATAAAGACTTTAAAATATACAGAATTCGAATGTTGTTTTAAATATTTTATGGTATGTCTGTATGTGTGGCGCTGAAGTGAATTTACTTAATATGGCCCTCCTCCATTGTGTGATGTATTGTAAATCCCAGCATTTATCCTGTTGTTACGGTCATGGTTCCATTTTGAAGTGAGTTATTCATTGTGTTAATGAGGTAGGATTAGAGTGGGATGTATCTTAAGTCACCACCTTACTAGAGGGTGTAACTCACGTCACCACCCTTAGTTTTCTTGGAGGTATGTTCAACATCCAATATATAGAAATGCTTTTTAGCAAAGCAATTTCTTGCTCTCGATCCTGCTCTGGTTTGTCTTTGTTTGACCTCTGGTTCTTGGGACTTGAGACAGCAGTCTGCTTATATCATCTGACCTGGCTATTCAGCTTCTACAGGCTTGTGAGACAACAGCCTTTCATCTGGCCTGATATGAGTTCCTCAGCTCTTATAACTATGTAAGTGAGGGGAATCCTCCAGACTGACATCTGACCTGTGGATTTGGAATCATGGAGTAATGGTGTGGCACTCTAGGATAAGCACTCAACCACAAGGTCAGTTTGAACTGTGAGGCTAGTAGTTCAAACTCACCAGCCACTCCTCAGAAACCGTATTCAAGGCCACTGTAGTCAGGAACCAACTCGATAGCACTTAAAAAAAAAAAAACAGCCTTCATAATGTTGTTGGTGAGTGTTCTGAGAGGTTGTACTGAATTATTGGAACCCTGAGATGTGAGAGGAGCGCGTGTAGTTGATAATCAGAGATGATTGAGTGGTACAATTTGGGACCTTTTAACCTCTGCTTCATAGGGACCAGTCTTGTGCTGATCCTTCTCAAATAAATTATTTATGCAGTGTGGACTCACATGTACATATATTTGTTTTCAAAATTAATTTCAGATAATACAAGCTTAAGGTAGACTGTGTTCATAGAAACTTAAGGTAAACTACTTTTATAGTAAGGCGCTCTGGTAGGTAGTGGTTACAAGGTGGCCTGCTAACCTTAAGGTCAGCAGTTTGAAACTACCAGCTCTTCCATGGGAGAAGGATGAGGCTTTCTGCTCCTGTAAAGATTTATAGTCTTGGAAACCCTATGTAGGGTCACTATGAATTGGAACTGACTCCACAGCACACCACCATTCTTTAGTAGATAGTTTTTGATAAATATTTTTTCTAATACAGTGTTAAATAATGCATCCTGAGTCATAATATTTCTTCACACAGAAGCTTTTTTAGTTTTCTTTTTAGCGAGAGTGAGGTTTTCTTTATTCAATTTTGCAAAATCAGGCACCCAAGCCAGTACACATGGGTAGATGTAAGACATGGCTGGCTCGCAAAGAGTTTCACTCCCCTGTCTTGAACAAGCCCCTCCTACAATTCCCCCTTTTACTGCTTACTGTGGAGATTGCTAATCTCATGGCTCTGTGAGCTAATGCATCAGACTGCAAAGTCTTTTGAACTGCAAGGTGTGTGGTTCAAGCTCACCAGCTGCTCCTTGGAAACCCTATACAGGGTCGCTATGGGTCGGAATTAACTCAACAGCACTTAACAACAACAACATGCACTTAACAACAACATGGAGATTAGGAATCAGGTTTCTAATCTCAGAGCAGTTCGAAACTACCAGCTGTTCTGCAGGAGAAGATGAGACTTTCTGCTCCCATAAAGATTAACACCCTTGGAAACCCTGTATAGTGTTGCTGTGAGTCAGAACTGACTCCACAGCACATAACAACAACAACATGGAGTTTACAGGAGTCCTGGTGTGGTGCTGTGGGTTAATGTGCCAGACTGCAAAACCATTTGAACTGCAAGATAGGCAGTTCAAGCTCACCAACAACTTCCTTCTGCCTACTAGTCCTTACTGGTAGCATTCTCATTTAAAGTTAGTTTCCCTCTTCCCCATGAACTTCCCTTATTTCCTTGATGAGTGTTTTCTTATTTTAAAATTTCTAGTCAGTTAAACTAGTTTCTTCTCCCCTTAGCTTCTTTTCTTATACTAGCCTGTTACTTCCACGATTCCCTTTAGTCTTGAAGATGGAGCACCCCAAGAGCTATTTCTCACAGATCCTCCCCGTTTTCTCTTGACACTTATTCATGTCATCTTCATTTATTCTTCTTAAATTCTCATAAAGTGTGGCATTTCTGGATGACCCTAAGAGCCTGTAGTAAGTTGCATTATACTTGGCACCTGACATGATGTTACTAAAACACGTACAACCAATTTGCTGTTGTTGTAAAGTGCCACAGAGTCAGTTCTGACCCATAGCGATTTCTGAGGAGCAGCTGGTGAGCTTGAACTGCCGGCCTTGCGGTTCAAATCAACTTTGCAGTCTAGCGCACTAATCAACAATGCCACACCGGGTTATGCTTGACCCCATTGCTGCTGCCACTCCATTTCATTGGGGGTCTTCTTCTTTTCATCAAGCTTCCACTTTAGTAGGCATGATGTCCTTTTCCAGGGACTGGTTTCTCCTAATAACATGTCTGAAGTATAAGAAAGAAAGAAAGTCTCACCATTCTGGTTTCTAAGTATCATTCTGGTTGTACTTCTTCCAACACATACCAACTATGGTGGTGGTGGTTATGTGCCGTGGAGTCAGTTGCGACTCATAGTGACCCTGTACAGGGTGTCCGAGGCTGGAAATCTACGGGAGCAGAAAGCCTCGTCTTTCTCCTGCGGAACAGCTGGTAGTTTCAAACTGCTGTCCTTAAGGTTTGCAGCCCGATTCGTAAACACTACACTACCAACTATACAGCCTCCAAAACATGATACTGCAGAAAAGAGATTGAAAACTATAGCCCTTGAGCTAAATCCAGCTTAATTCAGTGGTTTTGCTTGTTTAAATGGCTGAAAAGCCAAAAATACTGTTTCGTGATACCTGAAAATTATTTTAAAAATCAGATTTCAGTGTGCATAAATATTGATTTTATTACAGCAATATTCATTTATTATTGTCGATGGTTCCTTTCTTATAACAGCTGCACACTTGAGTAGTCCTGACACAACATGTGGCTCACAAAACCTTAAATATTCACTCTCTGGCCCTTTGCATAAATAATTTTTCTAGCCAACACTAGAGGAAAATACAAAATGGCATGGGAAAAAAAAATCACAATATATAGTAATTTTGCTTCTTGTATTTGCCATTATATGAATATAAGTATTCCACTTCCTTAGAAGTTTTTATATTTTTTAATTTAAAGAATTCATTGTTTTTTTTTTAAATCTCTTTTTTCCATCACCAGCCTCACATTTATTTACTCAATCTATGTGCTGAGCAAATAACCTGGGAAGCTAGATTATATGAAAAAAACCTGCATCAGGACTGGAGGGAGGCTCATTAACAACCTGCGATAATGCAAATGATATAACCTTGCTTGGTGAAAGCAAAGAGGACTTAAAATACTGATGAAGATCAAAGACCACAGCCTTCGGTATAGGTTGCACCTCAATGTAAAGAAAACAAAAATTCTCACCACTGGACCAATAAACAACATTCTTATCAATGGAGAAAAGAGTGAAGTTGTCAAAGGCTTCATTTTGCTCATATCAACTGTCAACACTCATGGAAGCAGAGTCAAGAAATCAAATGATGTATTGCATTAGGCAAAGCTGCTGCACAAGACCTCTTGAAAGTGTTGAACAAAGATGTCAGTTTGAGGACTAAGGTGTGCCTGACCCAAGCCATGGTATTTTTAATAGCCACATATGCATGTGAACGTTAGTGAATAAGGAATACTATAGAATAATTGATACACTTGAGTTATAGTGTTGGAGGAGAACACTAAAAGTACCATGGATGGCCAAAAGAACAAAACAATCTGTTGGATAAAGTACAGCCAGGATGGCCAGACTTCATCTCTCTTACTTCAGACGTATTGTCAGGATGGACTAGTCCTTGGAGAATACCATGGTTGGTAATATGGAGGGTCAGAGAAAAAGAGGAAGAACCCCAATGAGACAGATTGG